TAAATGGGGAGAAAGTTCCCAAGTGTAGCTCTGTTGATACACTTTCATGGTGATGATTTCCGTGAGAAGAGGGCAAATTCCAATTCCGACAATCAAGAGCCTACCCAAGAGAAAATTGCCAGTGTGAATACATAGTCATTTCTTAACCTTCAAAGCTGCCTGAACAGATTATAATGTGACGAGGCCAAGAAATTATGGGAATTCAACACAGAGTTCTCAGACTCTTTCCTTGAGTGCTTTGCCCTTTTCCTACTCCTAAAATTAAAGATGAGAAAAGGAGACTTATCCTTGGTTCACTTCTTTTGTTATTCTCTGGCCATGGCATGTCGCATACAATTTCAAGGGGTGTGTGCCCTTTACTTGTATATGCAGATTCTGCTTCTCTCTTGAGACTCCACCACTTTGCTCTCCCTTCCTTCTAGGTCATTCATCAACACTGTGTCAGTTGTCTTCACATCCACTCGTCTTCATGTAGTCCCTCTACCTGTTAGTGACAGCAGGGTTTCTGTACTCTCCAGGCTCAAAGTTTCTTTTTCTTTTAAGTTTATTTATTTATCTTGAGAGAGAGGGAGAAAGCACGCGAGCAGGGGAGTGGCAGAGAGGAAGGGAGAAAGAGAATTTCAAGCAGGCGCCTCACTGTCCGCACAGAGCCCGACGTGGGGCTCGAACCCATGAACTGTGAGATCATGTCCTGAGTCTAACTCAAGAGTCAGTCGCTTAACCTACTGAGCCACACAGGCGCCCCTCCAGCCTCAAATTTTCCATTACTCTTCACCCTTTATTCTCCTGTGTTCTCCATTCCAAATGAAGTTGAAAGTTTGTATTATCCCTTCATTGATATTGGTTCAAAAACTTCTCGATTCCCAATTTGTAATTTTATAATAGTACCTCTTGTCTCAATTCCTGCTAAATGAATGGCATCTCTTGAGTCTCTGTTATATAGTGTTGCTAGATTAATATAGATTAATTTAATATTAATAGATTAATATTAATGTCTTGTTGCTAGATTAATAATTTTTCTAAAATCATGCTATCTCCTTGTCAAAGATTCTTAATAAATTCCCACTACTTATTTATTTAGAAAGTATTTATTATATGCTAACAAGCTATTATGTACTAACAAGCCTCCTACCTTTTTTCTTTTAATCTCTACACCCAGCATGGGTCTCAAACTCACAGTTCTCAAGATCAAGAGTTGCATGTTCTTCCAAGTGAACCAGCCAGGCGCCCCAGCCTCTCATCTTTTTGATACTTAATCAAAGTATTCATAGATTTGGTACTGACCGACAGCCACCATAGACAGAGGGTGCTAACGAGAGGGTTGTGATTCTTAGGAGCACGGACAGTGCCCATTATGCACAGAGAAAGTATGGGGAGTGAGCTATCATCACTTTAGAGGGCTGGTGGGAAGTCTTGGCATCTAGGTAAGAGCAAGTAAAATACAGTGGGAGAGTCAGGACATCCATGGTTCTGAAATGTTATAAATTTCTCCCACTCATCTGCCAGTAGAGAACTACTAAAACCTTAGCTAGACTGGGTATTATGCTTTAACCAGTTTTGTGAGTACAGAAATGCATTTTTGTTATTTTATTCTATTTTTTAAAGTTTATTTATTTATTTTGAGAGAGAGAGAGAGAGACAGTGCAAATGGGGGAGGGGCAGAGAGAGAGGGAGACAGAATCCGAAGCAGGCTCCAGAGCTGTCAGCACAGAGCCTGATGTGGGGCTGGAACTCATGAACCGCACCGTCCTGACCTGAGCCAAAATCAAGAGTCAGATACCTAACTGACAGAGCCACCCAGGAACCCCGTATATTTATTTTTTGATTGTCTTCTCTTGTTTGGAACATCTTAGATTTGTTTTTTTAATGTATCGACTGAAAAAGAAAAACCTGTGGCCCTCCGACACTCACAGTGATAAAAGAGCTTTCCTTTCATGCTTTAATTTCAAGAAGCGAACCCTTGTGACTGTGCAGATTTGCTGTCTCCAAAGAGCCATTCCATCTAAAGTCTTGCTCATCTCATTCAGTGAACTGAGGACTTGTTCTGTCTCAACAAGCCTCTCTGTGTCTCCAGCTCTATCTGACTGGGCTTCTCCCCACGTGGCAATATCTGCAAAATACAAAAAAAGCAATTCATAAAACTGGGTACCAGGTGGACTTTATGGAGCCCACTGTAGGAGCCTGTGCTATCCACAATACTAGAGTCTTCTGCATAACTGTAGGTACTGTGTGGTGTCATTGGCTGCTGCCATGAACTAGAAACATAAATGAAAGTTTCATTCCTTGAACAAAAGGAGTAGAGCGGAGATCTTAGATCATTTGTATACAGACAGTACGTTCAAGAGGTCAAGACAAATATGCAAGGTCATGTTGTGCCTATGTGTCACTTGGAAAGGAAAAATAATCTCAGGTGTTCGCCTAGAGAAACAAGCTACAAATTGACAGGCTACAAACGGGGGGTTAATTGGTAATTATTGTTACTGATGGGATTTCAAATCTGTTCACACCATCGGAGGCTCCACTCTTTGGTATATTCTCTGCAACCTCTGGATACTCAGGATGCTGTCATTGTATGGTGCTAAATAAGCCTGATATCAAACCTCAAAAAGCACACACTCATAAAGGTACAATTGCAGACACAAAAACATACCATTCCAGTTACTAATGAAGATGTAAAGATCTTATACAAGATAGTGGTTGACGGTATATTAAAAGAATAATTCAGGGATCTCCTGCTTCCAAGGGAATGTCACCTCTCTTACCAAAAGAATATACCAGCTATTTTTAACCCATCAGATAGATAACAGCACAAAGAGAGTAAAAAAAATTTTTTTTTCATAAAGGGAAGAGCCATTCCTAGGGGAGATGATACCTATGGCTGTTTTCATCTTAGGGGCATGGCAGAAGGAAAGAACAACTTTAGATATGAGTAAGGAAAGAGCATTAAAGAAACTCTTGTGGTCACATATGGACTTTTAGGACAGACTAGAGTCACATGGTACCCAAGTCGCAAAATGGATTTACATCATTTACCAATTCTTTCCCATGAGAACTTCACCAAACACATGGGAACAGTACACCAAAGGCTGGAGCTGAGAAGGAAAAGCTGAGAAAGATCCACCCTAAGGTATGTAGAGTCTTTACTTGTGGAAGACATCATCAAGGTATGTGGGGCCTTCTTCTGTGAAGGAAACCCACCAGGGGCTGGCCACTGGACAAATGAGCAGAAAGAGATATACTGAGGTAGAATGGATCTTGGCTAAGTACAACACATTGACATGCTAACATCTGGGCATAGGATGGTAAGGTGGAGAGATCTCCCAAGGCATGGTTAGTCATGGTCAAGGGTGGAGAGTCAGGCTAACTCCCCAGGAGTAGAAAAACTGAAAATCCCCAAAAACAAATAAACAAAAAGTGATAGCAAGCTGAGAATCAGGTAGATATCACATCTTTTTGAGGAATTTGGGGCTGTATAACAGAGGGAGGTCTAGAATTTTGCCTGTGTCAGAATCAGATTTATGTGTCAATAACAGTAATATCTAGGAAATCCGCAAATAATTGTACATTGAATGACACATTTGGAAATCACCAAGTACAGTAAAACTTTGGATTGGAAGTAACTTGTTCTGTGAGACCAGCAAACATTTCCAATGAACTTTAACTTGACAAACGAGAGATGTCTTGCAATACGAGTAGTACTGTGATGCTGAATGTCACATGATCACGATTGAGCCAATGGTTCTTGAAATTCACTTTGATACACGAGTGCTTTGGATTATAAGCATGTTTCCAGAACAAATTAAGCTCGCAAACCAAGGTTTTACTGTTTTACAATAGTATCTTTTCAAATAGGGGATATCATCAGAGAAGTAAAAATTATTGAAAATAACCAAATAGAGATTTGAGTTGAAAAGTATACTAACTGATTTTTAAAGTTCACTGAAAAAATAAAAGCTCAATAGATTTCTTTCGGCAGAAGAAAGAAATCAGTGAACACAACCAAAGAGAAATGAGATAATTAAGTTTCAAAACCAGAAAAAAAAAAGAATGAAATAAAATGAAGTCTCAGAGAAATGTGAGACACTATCAAGCAGATGAACATGCACTACCACATATACTGGGTTAATGGGAGTTCCAGACAGAGGGTTTAGAGAAAAAGGGTAAGAAATTATAGTTGAAAAAATAATGGCTAACAACTTCCCACATTTGATGAAAAACATTCACTACACATATAAGAAGCTGACTAAACTCCCAATGGGTTAAATGAGAGGAGAGCAACACCTAAAGACATCACTCTCAAACTGTCAGAAGCCAAGGTCAAAAAAAAAAAAAAAAGAATCCTGAAAGCAGCAAGTCATCGTGCATAAGAGATTCTCAGTAAGATCTACAGCTGACTTCTCATCAGAAACCACGGAGGCCATATTCAGAATGCTTGAAGAGAGGGATTTAAAATAAATGTTTTGGGGGCATCTGGGTGGCTCTGTTGGTTAAGTGGCTGGCTTTGGCTCAGGTCACGATCTTACAGTTCGTGAGTTTGAGCCCCGTGTCGGGCTCTGTGGTGACAGCTGCCTGCAGTCTGCTTTGAATCTGTGTCTCCCTCTCTCTGCCCCTCCCCTGCTCATGCTCTGCTTCTCTGTCTCTGTCTCTTAAAAATAAATAAACATTAAAAAAAGTTTAAAAAAATAATAAATGTTTTGTCTGAAATTGCTCTTGGGAAATGGGATGAAGGCAGTGAGCCTTGGAGAGAAGGAAATGGGCGAGCTTTAATAACAAGGCAATATTGGCAATAAAAGGTAACAAATGTGACAGGGATGCAGGTTGGCTCTATTTATCCTTGTCTAAGAATGACCTTGATCATCACTGCCCCTCACATTTTGTAATCACATCTATGTAACAGTGTTTTACGGAAATGTACACTGCACTAGATGCTGTGAATACCTTGACATGATCAGTCATGCATTTTATTTACCTGATTCATCAACGACTGATTTTCCTTCTAGTTTCAGGAACACTTCATTCAAGGTTGTCATGGAAACACCGTAATTCTCAATTCCAAGGCCAGGACATCTATCCAGATCCTCGTAAAGTGCTAAAAAACACGTATAGTAGCAAATCAAAACAATGAAAATCATAAGTGAACTGAAGACAACTTCTCAAACTAAAAAGCACAAAGATATGAAATTATACTTGTGCTATGCCAGACATTTTAAAAGCTAACATTTCATAGTAAGTACTTAGTCTTCAAATACTATATTTTAAAATTTAGGGGCTCCTGGGTGGCTCAGTCAGTTAAGCGTCCGACTTCAGCTCAGGTCATGATCTCATGGTTCGTGGGTTCGAGCCCCGTGTCAGGCTCTGTGCTGACAGCCAGCTCAGAGCCTGGAGCCTGTTTCAGATTCTGAATCTCCCTTTCTCTCTGACTCTCTCCTGCTCATGCTGTCTCTTTCTCTCTCTCTCTCTCAGAAATAAATAAAACTTTAAAAAATTTTTTTAAATAAAATTTATATTGTTACAGCCCATATATTAACTTCTCTTGATCAAATATCCATTTATATTCATTTATATTTATGTTAAAATTTCATTTTAGAGGTGCCTGGGTTGGTCAGTTGAGTGTCCGACCTCGGCTCAGATCATGATCTCACAGCTCGTGAGTTCAAGCACCATTTTGGGCTCTGTGCTGACAGCTCAGCGCCTGGAGCCTGCTTGGGATTCTGTCTCCCATTCTCTCTTCCCCTCCCCTGCTCACACTTGCTCTCTCTCTCTCCTTCAAAAATAAATAAACATGTAAACATAAATAAATCTTTAAAATAAAATAAAATGAATTAAAACATTTTTATTTTAGATATTTTCTGGCTTGTTTAAAAACGTTTTTTTTCCTTCAGCTCAGGTCATGGATCTCACAGTTTGTGGGTTGGAATCCCGCATCGGGCTCTACGCTGATAGCTCTGAGCCTGGATGGAGCCTGCTTCAGATTGTGTCTCCCTTTCTCTCTGTCCCTCCCCTGCTCATATGCTCTCTCTCTCTCTCTCTCTAAAATATAAACATTAAAAATATTTTTAAAAATTTAAGTTTATTTTTAACTTAATCATGTTAACTTTTAGCATTGAATGAACAGGGGAACTTTGGATTTTTTCAACTCTAATTAATTGAAGACTCGTTTCCAAAGCCATTTGTGCTTTAGCCGACAAAATGGAGAGAACTAATGTTTTGAGGATTGGTAGGATTGCGCAGAGCTTTCTTTAGTTCCAAGAAGGTGATATTAAAGGAAGGACATAAATAATAAGTCCTTTTCTAAATTTCTGCTTCTGACTATGGAAGAAAGTCACAAGGTGTCGTCGGGAATGCAGCAGTGCCTCAGGGCACTTCGTTGGAATAGTGGGTCAACGGCATGTTGGCGCCCCTTCCAGACATTCCGTACCCACGCACCCTTCGTTCGTTGACCAAAACCACTCTGCATCAGCCACTGTTCTTAATATAATGAACATGGTCTCTGCCTGTCTGGATCTGAATACTGACAGCTAAATAAATGGAGCTTGAATAAAAACCTAATTTTAAATCCTAGTGGGATTATAGAAGTCCCAAGTCTTTCACCGGTAGCTCCTCCCTGGGCAAAAGGAGAAGTTAAGAGCTTTCTGTCTTGATCAGAGTCCCATGTACAGACAGGCAGGAAAGAGGTAAGATTCAAACTGCTAATGAGCAGTTTGTGTCATTCTTCATTTTACCTAAAATTGGACAGATCTCCTCAAAATTATAACTACTTTGAAAACACATTAATCAGAATTCAATGAACAGTTTGTCTGATGGCTCTAAGAAATACTTGTGCTGTCGCCGTAAAATGTGTATTTGAATGATTTCTGGGGTTAATTTATATGTCTGTTAACCACACATATGGCCCAGTTAATTGCTTCCACCCCCCAGTGTGGATTTTCTGAATGACATACATAATAAGTGCACTTTTTCTTTCTCTTTTACTTAAACTTATTATTTTGAGATAATTTTAGATTCCAATTCAGTTGTAAAAAGATAATACCAAGACATCTGTACACTTCACTCAGTTTCCCCCGATGGTAATATCTTAAAAAGCCACAGTACAATGATCACAACCATACTAGTGAAAATACAGTCAAGATATGGAACATTTCCACACATGGCCAGATTTCATTGTTTCTCATTGCCATGTAGTATTCCATGGTATAGATAAACCACATCTTCTTGATCCATTCATCTGTTGATGGACACTTAGGCTCTTTCCATGTTTTAGCTATTGTGGAGAGTGCTTGAGGGTGTTATGCTGAGCGAAATAAGTCAGGCAGAGAAGGACAAATATCATATGTTTGCACGTATAGGAGGATTAGGAGGAACTTGACGGAGGAACAAGCGGGAGAAGAAGGGCGGAAATGGTGGGGGAAAGGGAGAGAGGCAAACCATGAGAGACTCTTGAATGCTGACAAAAACTGAGGACTGATGGATGTGGGGGGGAGGGGGGGATGGGCATGGAGGAGGGCACTTTGGGGATGAGCACTGAGTGTTATGTAGAAACTAATTTGACAATAAACTATTTGTAAAAAAAAAAAAAAAAAAAAAAGATATGGAACATTTCCAAGGAGCCTGGGTGGTTCCGTTGGTTAAGTGTCCAACTCTTGGTTTTGGCTCAGGTCATGATCTCACAGTTCATGGGTTTGAGCCCCACGTTGGGCTCTGCACTGACAACACAGAGCCTGCTTGGAAATCTCTCTCTCTCCCTCTCTCTCTGCCCCTCTCCTGCTCATGCTTGATATCTTTCCCTCTCAAAAATAAATAAATAGGGGCGCCTGGGTGGCTTAGTCGGTTGAGCGTCCGACTTTCGCTTAGGTCATGATCTCGCAGTTCATGGGTTCGAGCCCTGCGTCGGGCTCTGTGCTGACTGCCAGCTCAGAGCCTGGAGCCTATTTCGGAGTCTGTGTCTCCCTCTCTCTCTCTGACCCTCCCCTGCTCATGCTGTCTCTCTCTCTCTCTCTCTCCTAGAAATAAAATAAAAATTAAAAAAAATAAATAAACATTAAAAAAAAGAGATACAGAATATTCTTATTGCCACAAAAATCATGGTACCCATGTATAGCCTCCACCATCTCTCCTGATTCCATCTTTGCCCAGCCCATGGCAACTATTAATCTCTTCTCCATTTTTATAATTCTGTCATTTCAAGAATGTTCTATAAATTGAGTCATACAGTATAGATTCTTTTGGGATTGGTTATTTCACCTGAGGGTAGTTCTCTGATTATTCATCCAGATTGTTGCATATACCAGTCGGTAGCCCATTCCTTTTTATTGCTGAGTGGCATTGCATGTCATGAATGTTCTAGAACTTAACCATTTACTTGTTAAAGGGCTTCTGGATGGCTTCGGCTGTTGTCTGTTCCAGATAAAGCTGCTATAAACATCCGTGGTCAGGGTTTTGTGTGAATATGGTTTCATATCTTGAAGATTTTACTCTTATTTATTTATTTATTTATTTATTTACTATTTATTTCTGAGAGAGAGACAGTGTGAGCAGGGGAGGGTCAGAGAGAGATGTAGACACAGAATCTGAAACAGGCTCTAGGCTCTGAGCTGGCTGTCAGCACAGAGCCCCGACATGGGGCTTGAACCCAAGAACTGTGAGATCATGACCTGAGCTGAAGCTGGATGTTTAACCAACTGAGCCACTGAGGCGCCCCTCTCTTATTTATTTTTAAAACATTTTATGGTTTTACATTTTACTTTTAAGTCCATGATTTATATTAAGTTCACTTCTATATAAAGTGAAGGTTCATGTTTATGCCTGCGGATCTACGTGCTCCATTTGTTGAAAAGGTTATCTTTCCTCCATTGAATTGCTTTTCCACTTTTGTCAAAAATTGGCTTGGCATATCTCTGTGGGTCTATTTCTGGATTCTCTATTCTGTTCTGTCTATCTGCATGTCTATCACTCTGCCAATACCACACAAACGTGATTATCATAGTTTACGTGACGCCATTACTCATTCCCCTGGCTCATCACCGAGTGGCCTGACAAAACCCATAGCTTCCTGCTTCAAAAGAGTTGATGGGGGCCCTCAGCATCTCTGACCAGGCTGATCGCTGATGTCTTTGCCTGCAGAAAGCCCGTCTGTGATGACTGGAAGAGGGGCCTGCTTTATCTAATGTGCAGACATCAACACAGAGTGCCATGGAAAATGAAAAATCAGTGGAAGACACTCCCAACAAAGGAACAAGATAAACTTATAGAAACAGACCTTCATAAATGAAGCTTTATGATTTACCTGACAAGGAATTCTAAATGGCTGTCATAAAAACCCCAAAGTTAGCACAAAAATCTTGTCAAGGAAGAAAAGGACCAATCTTGGGGCTGTTTATCGTAATGGCTAAGCCAGAGGTTTTTAGCCACTTGTGTTCATTCAGTTATGAATTCTAGAAGATTCTGTTACACACTACAAAGGGAATGAAAGACTTAAAAAGTTCCCTAAAATGCCCAGACATTGTAATGCAACTACTAGAATATATTTCCCACTAGATAAAACTATCCAATTACTGTCTTTTTCTTTGCATCATGTTTCAAATACCTAACACATTGTAAGCTCTCAATGTATGTTGTAAGAATTTCATTATTATTATAAACATTATTTACATATTTCATTTCATAGTGTTCTCCCACATTACCTGGAAATTTATTTGTTTGTTCCAAGGGCAATGTGTAGACGAGTTTTCCTTCACTTTCTGCTGATAATTTGGCATCGGGGATGTGTTGTTTAACAAGTGATGTTATTTTTTCCTGAACGCACATTTCATTCAACTGCAAACTGGTATTTGAAAAATAAAAAAGGAAAGATATATGTTATTTGACATGGTCTTCAGTAGCATGAAGAAGATGGCTACCTTCTATGAAAGAGATGGGCCATTCAAACATGAAATAAGGGGACAAAAAAATCAGATCATATAAGTGTAGGAGAAGGCAGAGGGAACTAATTAGAACTACTGGTCAGGTTATTTAGAGATGAAGCCCAGAGAAAGTTAATATTGACTCAAGTCCTTCAAGTCTCCTCAAGTGGCAGAGGAGAGATACCAGAGACACAACACCATGACGACACAAAGTAGGAAATGGTGACGATTTGTCAAAGGGGGTTTAATTTGGCTGAATGGGATTACTGTTTTGGGTAAGAAGAAAGGAATTTTGATAGGTAGGCACAAAACAGGTTTAGTTATTCAATTTACTCTTCCAGACACATTTATCAAGTTCTTAGTATGTGACAAAAATTACTCTAAATGCTAAGGGTACAGTTGTAAGTAAAAAAAGCACTGCCCTGTTCTTATGAAGTGGACTGTCCAGTGGGGAGACAGGGAGAAAACAAGTAAACAAACAGACAAATAAATGATTAGCAATAGTAGTAAACGCTATGAAGGAAACGGATTACAGATAGAAATTACTTGTGGATGAATGTGGGTATGGGTTGTTGAAATCACTAATTTTTGCTTTCTTTGTAGTGCTAGCCCCAGAACTTTGACTAAGAATGAAGTATCATAGAGAAAAACAGTCTACTCATCAAAAAATACCATGGATATTTCCCTAATGTAGAAAAACAAACAAAAAAAAATTGTATGAATCAAGGTTATAAAGTATACAGTAGACAAAGGATCAGTGACTTGGCTTCTAAACTTGGTTTTGCCATTTGAAATGTGTTACTTGCCCTATCTGGACAGTTTGCTCATTAGCAAAATGGAATGATGATACCTAACATTTAAGGTTGTCCAAAGAACTGAATAATAGTGATGTTTGCACTTAGTCCTTTAAAAAAGGCTTTTTTTAGGAGCACCTTGCTGGCTCAGTCAGTTGAGCATACAACTCTTGATTTTGGCTCAGGTCACGACCTCACGGTTTGCGGGTGTGAGCCCG